TGGAGGTGGCACAACAGCCTTTGTTGTTGTTAGGGTATAGGGCCACCGTGGTGGCCATTCCTACATAACTTCCCATGATTTTATATTAACAGAAAACAGAGTGTTTGTAAGGCAAACCCATTAAATCACTATGTACGTAGTTTCATAAAGAACAAAATAATACAGTGGACCCCCGGTATTCGATGGCATTGGTATTCGATAAATCCGGTATTTTGATGCATTATATCGCAAAAATTTTGCCTCGGTATCCGATTGAAAACCCGGTATTCGATATGTTTTGTACGAGACATGTCCACGTGTGGCCTGAACTGCTCCGTGTGTGCCAGTGTTTCCCAAGCCAGCCAGTGTGGGGCATCAAAAGGATAAAATTCGGTACATTCCATATTATCCAAAATTATCACTGTTTTGGTGCTTCTTTTGCAAAATAAGTCACCATGGGCCCCAAGAAACCTTCTAGTGCCAACTCTTCAAGAAAAAAGGTGCTAATGACTATTGAAATGAAGAAAGAGCTAATTGCAAAGTATGAAAGTAGAGTGGCGTGTGTCGGAGCTAGTCAGGTTGTAAAAAAACCCCAATCAACCATCTCTACTATAGTGACCAGGAAAACGGCAATCAAGGAAGCTGTTCTTGCAGGAAGGTGCAACTGTGATTACAAACAGCGACTGCAAGTGTTAGAAAATGCTGAGATTTTTGTTATTGGTTTGGATAAATGAAAAACACAATAGCAGGAGATAGCATCTCTCAAGCGATCATTTGTGAAAAGGCTAGGCAGTTGCATGACGATTTGGAAAAGAAAATTGCCTGCAACTATGCTGATGTGAGTGAATTTAAGGCCAGCAAAGGTTGCTTTGAAAGATTTAAGAATCGTAGTGGCATACATAGTGTGATTAGGCATGGTGAGGCTGCCAGTTATTTGTTTCAAAAGAGGTCCAGTGACTCTCAAGCGGGTCCTATTTGGCATAAAAGAAAAGGGAATAACCCCGGAAAAGGACTTGCTACCTCAAGTCCTAATGGAAGGGGACCCCCTTCTAAACACTAAACACTTTCCCCCTCCTCCCACCCCATCAATCATCACCAGATCTTCATTAAAGGTAAGTGTCAATTATTTTATTGTTATTGTAAATTATTCTTTTAAACTTAATATTGCATGTAAAAAATTTTTTTTTCGTACTTTGGGTGTCTTGCACGGATTAATTTGATTTCCATTATTTTTTATGAGGAAAATTGATTCGGTTTTCGATATTTTCGGTATTCGATGAGCTCTCAGGAACGGATTAACCCCTTCAGGGTCCAAGGCCCAAATCTGAAGTGGTGCCCAGTGTCCAAAAAATTTTCAAAAAAAATTTTTTTATTTTTTCTTATGAAATGGTAGAGAATCTTTTTTGTGAGGGTAATAAAACAAAAAGTACGAAATTTGATGGAAAAAATTGGCAAAATTATGCTCTCGGCGAATTTGAGGGTGTCAGCGATATTTATGAATCGGCGATTTTGCCGACTTTGACTCCCTTTTTTAGGCCAATTACATTATTCCAGTCAACCAAATTCTTAGCTTTTCACTAGTATTACTTCTATTCTATCGATTGAGCACAAGAAATCGCCAAGTCAACTGTTTCAAACTACATATTAAAGTGATCTGAAATTGTTAATTTGGTCAATTTAACACAAAGTTAAAAATTTTCCCAAATTTTTCAAAATAGGGTCAAGAATAAACAATGTAGGTATTCCTGGAACTAAACTAACATTTCCTCTGTTCATTAGTTACGTTTTGAGGCTTTAAAAATAAATTCCATTTGATTTTTTATTCACATAATGAATTTTTATTCACACCAAAAAATAGAAGATTTACTTTTTATGCAATACAGTGGACCCCCGCATAACGATGGCATCACATAGCGATTATTTCGCATACCGCTTACTTTAATTGCAAAAATTTTGCCTCACATACCGCTTAAAAACCCCCTTACCGGGTTTCCTCCAGAACGCGTCCAATGTGGGCCTGAGCCACGCTCACATGTTCCGCCAGTGGCATTGTTTACCAGCCAGCCTCCGCGGTAACATCCAAGCATACAATCGGAATATTTTGTATTATTACAGTGTTTTCGGTGCTTTTTCTGGAAAATAAGTACCATGGGCCCCAAGAAAGCTTCTAGTGCCAACCCTACAGCAATAAGGGTGAGAATTACAATAGAGAAGAAAAAAGATCATTGATAAGTATCGCTACTATTGGTGGTACAGCTGCTGCTGCTGCACTGTCAGCTGCTGCTGCTGCTGTAGCATCGTCTGCTGCTGCTGCTGCTGTAGCACGTCTGCTGCTGCTGTAGCATTGTCCCGCTGCTGCTGCTCTGTAGCATCGTCTGCTGCTGCTGCTGCTGTAGCATCGTCTGCTGCTGCTGTAGCATTGTTCTGCTGTACCACCGTCTGTGCTGCTGTACCACTGTCACTGCTGCTGCTGCTGTAGCACCGTTGTTGGTGTGGCTTATTGAGAATACCAAGAAACAAATTAAACCAGAGGATTTTTCCACCCAGGATAACCCAAAAAAGTCAGTGTCATTGAAGACTGTCTAACTTATTCCATTGGGGTCCTTTAAAGTTGTCTCCCAGGATGCAACCCACACCATCGACTAACACCCAGGTGAACAGGGAAAAATGCCTGGAACTATGCTCATATTGGTGAATTTAAAGCCAGCAAAGGTTGGTGTGAGAGATTTAATAATCGTAGTGCATACACAGTGTGATAAAGGCCCGTTCTGGAAGAAAATGCCAAACAGGACCTACAGTACTCAGGAGGAAAAGGCACTCCCAGGACACAGTGTCTCAAACAGTCATTTCTGCATCTTCAATAAAGGTAAGTGTCATTTATTCTTCATTTAGTAAGTAGTACATGCACAAATATATACTGTGCATGTACTACTCTACTATTGTGCATGTATCCTTCTCTTTGTGTGTGGGAAAATGTATATTTCATGTGGTAAAATTTTTTTTTCATACTTTTGGGTGTCTTGCACGGATTAATTTTATTTCCATTAATTTCTTATGGGGAAAATTCATTCACATAACGATTATTTCGCATAACAATTACCCCTCTTGCAAAGGATTTAAAATCGTTAACCGGGGGGGCCACTGTACTGTAATAATTGTAAAAAATATTAAACACCATATTTGTGAATGCATATTAGACCCCCACCTGGCGTGTATTAGACGTTGAGGTCGTTTGTTTACTCTTGAATATCGGCAAAAAATTAACATTCTGCTACTTTGAGCTCAGTTTCAAGCCATTTCCAGTACTAAAACCAATCAAAATCATCTCTATTTCTGTAATATGTCCTTCCATTCTATCAAATGAGACCAAGAAATCGCAAATAGAACTATAAAAAACATATGAAAAAGCACTACAAAGTTGCTGTTTTAATCGAAAAATCATGATTTCAGTTTTTTTCTCTCATTATACATAGCGTGCTGCAGGATCTGTTTTATGTGGGGCACACATACCACATAGATGTATTTCTGTCATATCTAGGCCCCAAATGTACCACTCACAGTTTATCAGAGTGAGCTGAGCTCATGACGTAGATCTACGGTTTGGACCCTGAACGTAAAGCTGTAGATCTACGGGACGGACCCTCAAAGGGTTAATATCGAATACTGGGGGTCCACTGTAATAATAATAATGTAAAGAAATTATGTAGTAATACAGCATTTACCTTGCTAAATTATACGTGGTATGTACATATTATTATAATTATTATTATAGTAGTACAGTGGAACCTTGACTTACGAGTTTAATCCGTTCCACGAGCTAACTCGTAACTCAATTTATTCGTATATCAAATTAATTTTCCTCATTTAAAATTTAAATTTAAAAACCATTAATTTTGTTCCTGCGCTCTGGAGAGACGAGAAAAAATACTTGAATATGATGCTATTATCAATGCTATGGCTTATTTATCTATCACAATTCATCTAATATGGCATAATAAACAATATAATTAGCATAGAAACATAATACAGTGGACCCCCACCTTACAATATTAATCCATTCCTGAGAGCTCATCGTAAGTCAAAATTATCGTAAGGCGATTAATTTTCCCCATAAGAAATAAATGGAAATCAAATTAATCCGTGCAAGACACCCCATAGTATGAAAAAAAAAAAATTTTATCACATGAAATATTAATTTTAATACACACAAACTGAAGAAGACATGCACAATTACTACTCTACTAAGAATAGAATACATGACACTTACCTTATTGAAGATCTGGTGAAGATTGATGGGATGGGAGAAAGGGGAGAGTGTGGAAGTTATTGTTTAGAAGGGAAATCCCCTTCCATTAGGACTTGAGGTAGCAAGTCCTTGTCTAGCGTTACTTCCCTTCTTCTTTTTCAAATTCAAATTCAAATTCAAAATTTATTCTCTATAAGGATTACAATGCTGAGTTTACAGAATTTGGTTATTGTGTGGTTTACATGTAGTAAAATAATAATTACAGAGTGTACCACTAGAACACCTAGCATGGCTAGGCATTTCGGGCAGACTTAAATTAAATCTTAAGTTTAAAATATTACAAAATTATGAGGTTAGTTGGTATTATGGCTAAGTGACTAAATACTAGTTTGTGAGTTTAACAATGTGAATGCTTTTGTTTTGGCACTATACATAGTTTCAGTAATGCCACTAGGACCAGCTTGAGAGTCACTGGACCTCTGTCACACAACAGATCTGTCCATAGAGGTCTGTACCTCCAAGATTTGCCTAAAATGGATCACAACATTGTCATTGTAATAGTCACCAGCACAGCTTGCAATAGCTGTGTTAGGGTGATTTTCATCCATAAAGGTTTGCACTTCAACCCACTTTGCACACATTTCCTTAATCTTTGAAGTAGGCACAATGGATTCCACAACTGGTATAGGCTTCTCAGGGTTAGCCCCAAACCCTTCAAAATCGTTCTTAATTTCCATATTAATTCTCACCCTTTTTACCACAGGGTTGGCACTAGAAGCTTTCTTGGGGCCCCATGGTGACTTATTTTGCAGTTACAAGCACAAAAAACACTGGGATAAGGTGAAATGTACCGAATGTATGCGTGGATGCGACTGCACTGGCTGGCTTTTAAACACTGGCACCCACGGGGCAGCTGAGGCCACACGTGGGACGCGTCCCGGACGAATCACGTAAGGTAAGTTTTTTATCGTGAGGCAAGGCAAAATTTTTGTGTTCAATTCTTCGTATGGCAGATTTAACGTAACGCGATGCGTTCGTAAGGTGGGGGTCCACTGTATATACTCTAGAATGAATAAAATAGGCCATAATATGGTGGCAGAGGCAGTGGCAACGGCAGAGGCAGCAGCAGCAGTGACAGAAGCATCTGCCAGTTCTGTCCCAATTTGACTATAGTATCTTCTCATGTTCTTACTGTAAGAGAAAATGGAGTATTTTTGAGGCTAACTGCAGTAGATCACTAGGACCCATGGTTAGAAAAAAGAAATTTGGCCAAACGACTGCAAACAAGCATGAGAGAACTGCCCCCACAGGGATGTAAACATGTTTACTGCTGATCAGCTGTGCCAACTAGCAGAAGCAATCTGAATTATTATTACGTACTTATTATGCATTATTATTATTAGAGAACTGAAGCTCTATCATTATTATAATTATTATCATTATTAATTTAGGGAACTGAAGCTCTATTGTTATGTATAATAATTCAGTAGACCGCCATTGAAGAATTGCTGCACAATTTTATGTAACACGTCATATAATTAATTTAACATGGTTCAGTTTGTGGGAAGGAAAAAAAAAAATTCTCTTTTGCTCAAGCGGCCGCCTTCTTGTGTAGCAGCCGGGGAGCCATCCCCTACCACTCCCCGACACCACCCCCCACCATCCCCTACCACTCCCCGACACAACCCCACCATCCAAGCATTCGTAATTCATACGTGTCCAGTCTTTCTCTCGTACAAAGCAGCTGTGTTTGTCAATAGTGTTACGATATTTTAATTACTATACCTTGTATCTGCCAAGCAATCATGACACCCAGTAGCCATACCAGTGTTGCTGAAAGTGGCACGAAGAGGTATAAGCACTTAAGTCTTAGAATTAACAAAGATATTAGACGAGATAACCTGTAGCCGTAACTGAAGTGTTACTTTGCACACAGAAAAAGAGGGTAACATGAATTTGTGTGACTGACTGATTGAATGACTGACTTACTGAATGACTGACTGAATGACTGACTGAATGACTGACAGACTGAACTGACTGACTGAACTGACCGACTGAACTGACCGACTGAACTGACTGACTTACTGAGTGAATTAACTGGCTTACTGAGTGACTTGACTGACTTGCTGAGTGACTTGACTGACTTGCTGAGTGACTTGACTGATTTACTGAGTGGCTTGACTTACTGAATGACTTGACTGACTTACTGAATGACTTTACTGTAATAATATTATATTATTATTGCTGAGAAGAAAAAGGGAATGGTTTCCATGGAATTAAAGCATGAAATCATAGATAAACAAGCGAGGTGTTCAGGTTTTTGGTTGAGGGGGAAGAGGGATGGGGGAGCTGGCTCGTAACTGAAATGTTGGCTCATAACTCAGAGCAAAAAATCGACCCAGGGACGGCTCGTATCTCAAAAAACTCACAAGTTGGGACACTCGTAAGTCAAGGTTCCACCGTATTATGTATTATTATTTTACGTATTATTATTATTATTTTTTTTTTTTTTTTTTTTTTTCAACAAGTCGGTTGTCTCCCACCGAGGCAGGGTGACCCAAAAAAAGAAAGAAAATCCCCAAAAAGAAAATACTTTCATCATCATTCAACACTTTCACCACACTCACACATTATCACTGCTTTTGCAGAGGTGCTCAGAATATAACAGTTTAGAAGCATATACGTATAGAGATACACAACATATCCCTCCAAACTGCCAATATCCCAATATTATTATTATTATTATTATTGTTATTATTATTATTATTATTATATGTATTATTATTATGTATTATTATTGTTAATTAGTACATACGTATTCTTATAATGATAACTCTTGCTTACCATTTGGAATTTTTATTAACACAAAAAATAGGAGATTTACTGTTATGCCGACTACTGCAGTATTGTAATAATTATATAAATAATGTCAACCCATTCATGACTGCATATTAGACTAGCCAGTTGCACACACATTAGACAGTGACGTCATTTGTTTACTCTTGAAAATCGGCTAAAATCAAACATTTCTGCTACTTTGAGCTCAAATTCAAGGCACTTTTCATTGTGAAAGCAATCAAAATCATATATATTTCAGTAATATATTTTTCATTCTATCAAATGAGAACAAAAAAATGAGAATACAACCATAAAAACCATATGAAAATATACCACTAAGAGGTGGTTAATGGCTGAGAAGTGAACTCCGTTATTTATTACCTGGAGACCTGGAGTTACCTGGAGAGAGTTTCGGGGGTCAACGCCCCCGCGGCCCGGTCTGTGACCAGGCCTCCTGGTGGATCAGCGCCTGATCAACCAGGCTGTTGCTGCTGGCTGCACGCAAACCAACGTACGAGCCACAGCCGGGCTGATCAGGAACTGCCTTTAGGTGCTTGTCCAGTGCCAGCTTGAAGACTGCCAGGGGTCTGTTGGTAATCCCCCTTATGTGTGCTGGGAGGCAGTTGAACAGTCTCGGTCCCCTGACACTTATTGTATGGTCTCTTAACGTGCTAGTGACACCCCTGCTTTTCATTGGGGGGATGGTGCATGGTCCAATTTCTTTCAATTTTGGGTTATTTTAAGAAGCATCTTTCCATCATACATTGCCAAGTTTCAGTAAGATAGTCTAACAAACAAATGAGACCCAGTTCCCTAGATCAAGAGCAAGAGCCCCTCACCAGCATCAAGAAACCTCCCTTGAGGCCCACTCGCATCTAGAAATTTTGCCCGAGTCTGGAAGCAAAAAATCGACCGAGTGACTGCTCATATCTGGAAAAACTTGCACGTTTCATGCACTCGTAAGTAGAGGTTCCACTGTATTCGGCAAATTTTATGCAAAATTAAGAAGATCCAACATTTCCTCTGTTCATTAATCATGTCTTCAGGCCTCTCCTGTATTACATTTGCTCCCTATTTTGAATTCAGCCTTACACAAAAATTTCAAGTTTTAATTAATTCTCTGATAATAAAATATAACCAGGAATGATTGATCATAGTTTAGGGTGTCCTAATAATTGAAGAAGACCTGGTAAAATCTCATAAAGCAGACTGGGAAGGGGAGGTTAGGGATGCCTTACCTGCCCTCTTGAAAAATCATCAAAAATTGAATATTTCTGCTACTGAGTCCAATTTCAGTCTTCTTGCAGTGCTGAAATTAACCAAAATAATCTTTGTTTCAATAATATCTCTTCTATCAAATGATACCAAGAAACAGCCACTAAAACCATTAACCCTTAAACTGTCCAAACGAAGATCTATGTTTTCACTGCCAGTGCTCTGAATATTTTGGATTTTTTTTTAAATTAACCCTTTGACTGTCGCGGCCGTATATATACGTCTTACGAGGTACTGTGTTTGACGTATATATACTCATAAATTCTAGCGGCTTCAAATCAAGCAGGAGAAAGCTGGTAGGCCCACACGTGAGAGAATGGGTCTGTGTGGTCAGTGTGCACCATATAAAAAAAATCCTGGAACACGCAGTGCATAATGAGAAAAAAAAAACTCCGACCGTTTTTTTTAATTAAAATGCCGACTTTGTGGTCTATTTTCGTATAGTATTTATGGTTGTATTCTCGTTTTCTTAGTCTCATTTGATAGAATGGAAAACATATTATAGACATAGAGGTGATATTGATTGATTTTCCTATAAAAAGAACCTAGAAATGGAGCTCAAGTAGGGGAAATGTTTGATTTTTGCCAATGTTCAAAAGTAAACAAATGATGCCATTGTCCAATAAATGTCCAACTAGCCATTCTAATATGCAGACATGAATGGGTTGATGTTATTTATACAATTGTTACAGTATTGCAGTAGTCTGCATAATAGTAAGTCTTCTATTTTTTGTTTGAAAAAAATTCAAAATAGAAAGCAAGAGTAATATCAGAGGGGCCTGGAGACATGACTGATGAACAAAGAAAATGTTATTTTAGAGCCAGGAATGTCTGCATTGTTCATTTTGGACCTTATTTTGAAATTGTCATATTTTTTAGTTTTCGTGAAATTGGCCAAATTGCAAATTTCTGACCACATTACAGTATTAGGTAGTTGAAATCGGTAAATGGGCAGTTTCTTGTACTCAATCGATAGAAAAAATGGAGTTCTAAAGAAATAGCTATGAGTTTTGGCGACTGGAACAATGGAATTAGTCGAAAATAGGGCTCAAAGTGGACGAAATCGCCGATTTGTAAACAGTGCCGAGGTCGCTAACTTTGCGAGAGCATAATTCCGTCAGTTTTCCATCAAATTTCGTTTTTTTGGTGTCATTACCTTCGGGAAAAGATTCTCTATCATTTCATAACAAAAATAATTTTTTTTATTTTTTTAAATTTTGCAACACCAGGAGACACCTCAGGATTGGGGGTTGCGACAGTCAAAGGGTTAAAGAGGGCAAATTTCTGTGTGTAAGAAGACCAAAAAAAAAAAAAAAAAAAAAAAAAATTAGGTTCAATACTTATCGAGATATAAGATCGCAAAGTTGGTGCTGAATGATCACCTGATGGCAACATGGTGTCCTGCCACTTGCAGAAGCGTTGCCAATATACCATTTTTTTCTTGTTTATATTTTAATTTATATAATTTTTATGTTTGATAATTACAATTTATAATAGTTCTTGTGATTTCACTGGCAATCTTTGTTCTGACACTAATATTAGTAACTGAAATAGTCACAAACACACTGACAGGTGAACATTTTCACCTGCCTTGGTCATTTACTATTGTCTAGAAATATATACAAAGTATTTATAGGTCCCAGCAATGTTTTAGACATGCTGGAGTATATATGAAACTCCTTGAAGCATGGTGTGTTATTACTAGTGTCACTCCATTGCTGACAGCTGCAACAGTGGACTTACACTTGATGATCATTCAATTCAATTCAATTCAATTCAAAGTTTATTCTCTATAAGGATTACAATGCTGAGTTTACAGAATTTGGTTATTGTGTGGTTTACATGTAGTAAAATAATAATTACAGAGTGTACCACTAGAACACCTAGCTTGGCTAGGCATTTCGGACAGACTTAGATTAAATCTTAAGTTTAAAATATTACAAAATTATGAGGCAAGTTGGTATTATGGCCAAGTGACTAAATACTAGTTTGTGAGTTTAGCAATGTGAATGCTTTTGTTTTGGCACTATACATAGTTTCAGTATTGGAGTATCGCAGGCCAACTTATGACTAGTTAAGATTCATTATTTTGAGATTGAGATTGATATTTCTGTTTATGGTCAAATGGGTGAGTGAAAGTGTGAATCACCAGGTAGTGTTTGTATAATTAATTGACAGGGTGTATCAGGGAGATAAGATGTTTTCTGATGGTAGTTTAGAAGGTGATGAATGTGTCTGCAGTTTTAGAATTTTCAGGTAGGGTGTTTCAGATTTTAGGGCCTTTGACATACATTGAATTTTTGTAAAGGTTTAGTCGGACATGGGGAATGTCATAGAGATGTTTGTGTCTAGTGTTGTGCCTGTGGGTTCTGTCACAACTATCAAGAAAGCATTTTTGGTCAAGGTTAATATTGGAATTTAAGGTCCTGTAGATGTAGATTGCACAGTAGTAAGTGTGGATGTACTGAACAGGGAGTAAGTTTAGATCTATGAAGAGTGGGGGATGTGTTGCCAGGGATGGGATTTAGTGATTATTCTTACTGCAGCTTTTTGTTGGGTTATTATTGGCTTTAGGTGTGTTGCTGCAGTTGAACCCCAAGCACAGATAGCATAGGTGAAGTATGGATATATAAGTGAGCGGTATAGTGTGAGAAGGGCAGTTTGCGGCACGTAGTATCGTATCTTGGAGAGGATCCCAACCGTTTTGAATACTTTTTTGGTTGTGTGTTGGATATGGGTGCTGAAGTTCAGGTTGTTGCCAAGGTATAGGCCTAGGAATTTGCCCTCATTATGCCTGGCAATTAGAGTGTTGTCGATCTTAATGTTAATTTGCGCATCTCCTGCTCTGCTACCAAACATAATGTAGTAGATTTTGTCAGCGTTAAGCGTAAGTTTATTGGCTGTCATCCAAGTCGATATTTTGATCAGCTCCTCATTAACAATGGTGTTCAGGGTGGCAAGATAGGTGAGAGATGAAAGTCGTGTCGTCAGCAAAGAGAATGGGGTTCAGGTGTGAGATAGTTTGGAAGATCATTGATGTATAGAGGAGGCAAGGACAAGGACACTTCCCTGCGGAACTCCAGTACAAGTGCTGTGTTGTTGATGCTGTGTCTTAATGGTGACATACTGATACTATTAGTAGGTAAGATTTGAAATATGCAAGCGCATGGTCTCTTATACCTAATGGTCAAGTTGTGGAGTAGGAATGCCGTGGTACTCATGTCAAAGGCTTTTTGGTCAATAAATTCTAGTGATATTCCTTAATGTTCCAATGCTGTGTAAAGCAGATCTAGTCAATTTTTAATTGCATCGTTAGTGCTTTTATTTTTCCTGAATCCAAATTGGCAGGGGTTGAGTACTGCTTGAGCACTGCTCCAGGGAACCCTGGCTTTATTTGTTTTCACTGTTACACACAAATATGCATGTTTGTCTGTCTGTCTGTCTGTCTTTGTCTGTCTGTCTGTCGTCTGATCTGCTAGCCTGCTTATCTGTCTTTCTGTCTGCCGCGTGTGTGTGTGTGTGTGTGTGTGTGTTGTTGTGTGTGTGTGTTGTGTGTGCGTGTGTGTGCGTGTGTTTGCGTGTGTGCGTGTGTGTGGTGTGTGTGGTGTGTGTGTGTGTGTGTGTGTGTGTGTGTGTGTGTTTCTGTCTGCTTGTCTCTGTGTCTCAGAGCAGCTCGTAAACCAACAGGTATTGCACCTGATGCAGAGTTGTCACGTCTGATTCCTGATCACGTGAAAATACGTATTACTTGCCAGTCATTCTTATTATGCCTTATATCTACAAGCACTGTATAGTAATTTGCCTGATTTAGAGAGAATGGATCAAAGTAGAATGACATGGAAAGCATATAAATCTATAGGGGAAGGAAGGCGGGGTAGGGGTCGTCCTCAAAAGGGTTGGAGAGAGGGGGTAAAGGAGGTTTTGTGGGCAAGGGGCTTGGACTTCCAGCAAGCGTGCGTGAGCGTGTTAGATAGGAGTGAAATTTAGACGAATGATACTTGGAACCTGACGATTTGTTGGAGTGTGAGCAGGGTAATATTTAGTGAAGGGATTCAGGGAAACCGGTTATTTTCATATGTCGGACTTGAGTCCTGGAAATGGGAAGTACAATGCCTGCACTTTAAAGGAGGGGTTTGGGATATTGTCAGTTTGGAGGGATATGTTGTGCATCTTTATATGTGTATGCTTCTAAACTGTTGTATTCTGAGCACCTCTGCAAAAACAGTGATAATGTGTGAGTGTGGTGAAAGTGTTGAATGATGATGAAAGTCTTTTCTTTTTGGGGATTTTCTTTCTTTTTTGGGTCACCCTGCCTCGGTGGGAGACGGCCGACTTGTTGAAAAAAAAAAAATAATAACTGTACTTAGGTGTACCTGTGAAACAGACAGAGAAAGACAGAGACAGAGATATAGACAGATAGAGACAGAAATAGACAGACATATACAGACAGAGAGACAGCTAAAGTCAATCAGCCAGCTAGACAGCCAGCCAGTCAGCCAGCCAGTCAGCCAGCCACCCAGCCAGCTGGCCAGCCAGTCGGCCAGCCTGCTGAATACATATGTAATATGTTCCAGAATCATTTCTCTCTACTTAGGGCATAGGTTATAGGACATTGTGGAAGGATGACACTACCAGTGGTATCAGAAATGAAAGGATGTTGCACTTGGGTTATTATCAAGGTTTTTGATATTTCCTCAACCACTTGTGGCCACATCCATCTCAAAGCCACTAAACTCTGAGTCAACATCACTTTCCTCTTAAAAGTGAAGTGTTAACATGACATGACGTCAGTGAATCCCAGGTGTCTGCTACGCTATTTGCTCTAGCTGGTGCTCAGTGGATCTGGTGCTCCCACAAGGTACTAAGTGCTCCCAAATTTTTTAATACTGCACACACCTAGTGTTAAGACCCATTCTGTACTGACCAGGCATCTCAGGCCAATCGTGCCGAATGTGAAGGCAAGAAAAATAAAACGTTGATTTACGTTTGGAGTACTAGCGGTACTAATATAGATCTACGTTTGGACAGTTTAAGGGTTAAAAAATCCTAGAAAACACCTCGTAGTTGCTATTTTAAACCAGATACAAGGTCAGAGGTTTGCTTTTATCATCATGCTACTTACTGATACTGATGTACTTCAGAGACATGTAGGACTTTAGGAACTGTGGATCACAACTCTGTCCCTCCAATGACCACCATCTTGGCTCTCCAATTCAGATGTAGGACTTTTTTTATACCATTAACACCTGGAGATGGAGGAGAGTGCATGCACTCTGAAGGAGGGGTGTTAATGTTGCAGTTTAAAAACTGTAGTGTAAAGCACCCTTCTGGCAAGACAGGATGGAGTGAATGATGGTGAAAGTTTTTCTTTTTCAGGCCACCCTGCCTTGGTGGGAATCGGCCAGTGTGGTAATAAAAAATAAAAAAAATAATTAACACTAACTGCGCAGACCCAGTCTCTTATGTCTAGGCCAAAATTTACCACTCTCAATGTATCTGGGGGAGCCGAGCTCAAAACATCTACATGTATCTATGTGAGCAATGAATTTGTCCATAATGTAAGACAGTGAAAGGATTAATAAGTCATACAGATTCTGCAGCATGGGACCCATTATGCCAACTGAGTTCCATTATGTTAAGAAGTGAGTACCATCTATGACTGCCTTATTTTCTCTAAAGTTTCTCTCTCATGGAAAAACATATCATTTCAGGTTAAGAAGCCAAAAATGGAAGGGTCTCTCCACAAATTTCCTGTTGATGGGCCACGCAAAATTATTGTTGCTAGACATGGAGAAAGAGTTGATTTCACTTTTGGTGACTGGACACGCTTCTGCTTTGATGAGACAAGTATGTTTTATTTATTGTCTATAATCTATTTTATGCAGAGTGCAAAAAATTGTTGGACTAGTTTAAAGATAATGTAGAACATACCTTTATTTCAGATGATATTTCACTCGGTGAAAAACTCCAAGCTTGATCTGCTTTATTTGTCTTTATAATCACATGTTGCTCTTGTCAGCAAAATTGTGTAGTTATGTGCTTGTTCACAGATGGTAAAAGTGAGTATGTTAGTGGTTCTAGGGATTACCTTCCACAGACCAGGTCTCTTAGATTGGAAAAGACAAATTAGATGATTGAGAAGTACTAAGAAGTACATAGGAAAGTAAAGGTTTGTGCATACTTAATCCAAGTAGAAGTTTGTAAGATTTATCTATCATGTTATATTATTATGACACAGAAAAACATTGTCATTGTTGATGGAGTACAAAAAACACTTAACAAGTTTCCAACACAAACTCATTGACAAGACAGTAATACTTCCCTGAATGGTTGCTCTTTATTAGCCTACTATTAACATTATTTAATTCTTAACCCTTTAACTGTCGTGATCCCAAATCCTAAAGTGTCTCTCTATGTTGCAGAATTTAAAAAAAAAAAAAAAAAAAAAAAATTCTTATGGTATGATAGAAAATCTTTTCCAAATGTTAATGACACTAATAGTATGAAATTTGATGGAAAACTTAAGGAATTACACTCTCACAAAGTTAGCAATCTCGGCGATGTTTACGCATTGGCGATTTTGCCCATTTTGAACCCTATTTTCGGCCAGTTCCATTTTTCCAGTCGACCAAACTCATAGCAGTTTCTTTAGAACTCCATTTGTTCTATTGATTGAGTACAAGAAACTACCCATTTACTGATATCAACTACCCAATAAAGTGGTCAGAAATTGGCAATTTGGCCAATTTCATGCAAATTAAAAAAGATGCCAGTTTCAAAATAGGGCCCAGAGTGAACAATGCAGACATTCCTGGCACTAAAATAACATTTTCTCTATTCATCAGTCATGCCTCCAGGCCCCTCTTATATTACTCTTGCTTTCTATTTTGAATTTTTTTTCACACAAAAAATAGATTTACTGTTATGCAGACTTCTGCATTATTGTAGTAATTGTACATATAATGTCATCCCATTCGTGACTGTGTATTAGAATGGCTAATTGGACAATAATGTCATTTGTTTACTCTTGAACATCGGCAAAAATAGAACATTTCTACTACTTTGAGCTCAATTTGTAGGTCCTTTTCATCATGAAACCAATCAAAGTCATCTCTATTTCTGTAGTATGTCTTCCATTCTAACAAATGAGACCAAGAAAATGAGAATACAGCCATAAATACTATACGAAAATACACCTCAAAGTCTGCATTTTAATCCAAAAACATGGTCGGATTTTTTTTCTTCTCATTATGCACTGCATGCTGCTGGATTTTTTTTTATACTGTGCACACTGACCACCCAGACCCATTCTCTCACATGTGAGCCTATCAGCTTTCTCCCACTGGATTTGAAGACGCTAGAATTTTTGAGTACAGTAGGGCCCTGCTTTATGGCATTTTGCCTTATGGCGTTCCGCCACAAGGCAGAATTTGCTATACAACAAGCGATCTTTCAAATATGGCGCACTCCACCCGGTTTGTTTACATTCTCCGTGAGCTCATTTATTATGTCTGGAAAGCATGTTTGATAGGAGTGAATGGAGACAAATGGTTTTTAATACTTGACATGCTGTTGGAGTGTGAGAAAAGTAACATTTATGAAGGGATTCAGGAAAGCCGGCAGGCCGGACTTGAGTCCTGGAGAGGGGTGTTAATGTGGCAGTTTAAAAACTGTAGTGTAAAGCACCCTTCTGGCAAGACAGTGATGGAGTGAATGATGGTGAAAGTTTTTCTTTTTCGGGCCACCCTGCCTTGGTGGGAGACGGCCAGTGTGATAATAATAATAATACACATATAGAGTCACTGGACAGGTTCCTATAACTACAAGAGGTTCTGAAAGTTTGTAGTAGTGTGGGGGTGGACTTGTAAATATGCTGAGTTACTGGTGTGTCTTGTTTCACAATGATGGATCATACCACCACTCGCTAACACTCATTGCCTTCCACAACACATCCCTTCCTCCCCACAAACCTTCCTTCCTTCTTTCCTTCCTTCCTTCTTTCCTTCCTTCCTTCTTTCTTTCCTTCCTTCTTTACTTCCTTCTTTCCTTCCTTCCTTCCTTCCTTCTTTCCTTCCTTCCTTCTTTCCTTCCTTTCTTCTTTCCTTCCTTCCTTCTTTCCTTCCTTCCTTCTTTCTTTCCTTCCTTCCTTCCATCCTCTCATCTCTTCCTACCTACCTTCCTTCCTTACTTCTTTCTTCCATTCTTTATTCATTAAAGTAATTTTATGGCCTATGAGACTAATATCAGGTATATTGAATGTATATTCACTAGTTGTATGCTACACAGTAACCATACAAACAGTCATTATATTGTTTACAAAACATGTTTACACAAGCCATCACTATAAAATGTTGTTTATTATGGTGGCCTGGTTGCTAAAGCTTCTGCTTCACACACGGAGGGCCCGAGTTTGATTCCTGACAGGTGGAAACATTTTGACATGTTTCCTTACACCTGTTGTCCTGTTCACCTAGCAGCAAATAGGTACCTGGGTGTTAGTCAACTGGTGTGGGTCGCATCCTGGGGGACAAGATTGAGGACCCCAGTGGAAATAAGTTAGACAGTCCTTGATGACGCACTGACTTTCTTGGGTTATCTTGGGTGGCTAACCCTCCGGGGTTAAAAATCCAAACGAAATCTTATCTTATCTCACTATTTTTCTATCACATATTTTTTTATTTATTTATTATCACACTGGCCGATTCCCACCAAGGCAGGGTGGCCCAAAAAAGAAAAACTTTCACCATCATTCACTCCATCACTGTCTTGCCAGAAGGGTGCTTTACACTACAGTTTTTAAACTGCAACATTAACATCCCTCCTTCAGAGTGCAGGCACTGTACTTCCCATCTCCAGGACTCAAGTCCGGCCTGCCGGTTTCCCTGAACCCCTTCATAAATGTTACTTTGCTCACACTCCAACAGCACGTCAAGTATTAAAAACTATTGTCTCCATTCACTCCTATCAAACATGCTCACGCATATATATACATAATAAGTTACTGGACACTTCCCAGAACTGCTACAGCTTCGGTAAAGCTCATAGTTGTTGTGTGGGGGTGGACTTGTAAATATGTCGAGTCACTGGTGTAATTAATGTCACAATGACAAATAACACCATCACTCACCACCCTCACTGCCTGTCAACATCCTCTTCACCCCACCTACCCACATGGAAATAAGTCACTGTTTGAATTTTTGGGGTTATCCTCTGTTGAAGGTCTCCTTCCTTTCTTCCCTCCTTCCTTTCTTCCTCTCATCTCTTCCTTCCTTCCTTTCTTCCTCTCATCTCTTCCTTTCTTCCTCCCTTTCTTCCTACCTTCCTTTCTTCCTTTTTCCTTCTTTCAGGTTTCCTGGGTATTGCTTTCGGTCACAAACTCCTCAAAACCATGAAATTCATCTTCACCGACACTTCCATCTGTGTTTGAACTGTCACTTGGGAACAAAAGAGCCTCAATTAGCCGAGGAGTGAGGAGTTTCTTAGTGGTAGACGTGGTGAACAAGGTGTAATAAAATGGCTTTTCCACAGTGCACCACTTGGTTCCTGATTTTTTTTGTACTGTGCACATTGACCATGGAGACCCATTCTCTCACATCTAGGACTACCAGCCTTTTCCTGCTTAATTTGAGGACTCTAGAATTTATGCGTACTAGTATGTCAATAACTCTGGCACGTAAGACGTACCAGTACGTCGGAAACCCTAAAAGGGTTAATCTTAAGTTAATTATTATTATTATTATAAAGGTATATAATGTTCACTTAATATTAAAATTTGTGCTTTATATTTATTTCTTATTGTTTTCTGTATGTAAAACTATAGTTAATCTTTAAAAAAATGTATTTTATGTTAATATTTTTGGGTGTCTGAAATGGATTAATTGGATTTACATTAATTCTTATGGGAAATATTATTTCGATTTTTGGCCTTTTTGGATTTAGGCCGCTCTTCTGGAGTGGATTATGGCCAATAACCAAGGGTTACACTGTATTTCCTCTCAGTTTTTATGCAGGAAGATACTAGAGAAATTTCAGAAATAAAAAATTGTGTAGGTCAGGACAAAAATAAGTTATTCTCAATCAAAGTCACTAGAGACAGACTAAAACTAAACAAATCCCTGGGTCATGATGAACTATTCTTGAAGGTTATACAGGAATGTAAGGAGGAACTTAGCAAAACATTAGCAATTTTTTTAACATATCACTACAGCTGGCATGGTGCTGGATAATTGGACAATGGCAAATGTGAGACCTATCTACAAAGCAGGAGGCTGGTCCTTAGCTTCAAATTACAGGCCAATTTGCCTAATCGCCATTGTGGGAAAAATCGATGGAATCAGTAATTGCCGAGGCTATTCGAGGCCACCTTGAAAGACAAATTGATCAATAAATCTCAACACAGTTTTTCAAAGGGGTTTTCCTGCCTTATGCATTTACTAACTTTTTTCACTAAGTTACTTGAGGAGGTAAATCAACTTAATGAATATGATATTGTGTATATAGACTTCAGTAAGCCTTTTGATAGATTTCCACACCAGATATCTTGGATGTAAAGACACATGGAATAGGAGGATTTTTTCTTTATTATTGACAGATAGGAAACAGAGTTTCCATAAACGGGGAGAAATCAGAGTGGGGAGGCATCACATATGGCATCCCACAGGGGTCTGTTGGCCCTTTGTTGTTCACAGTATACATAAACGACATAGATGAAGGAATAAGTCGTGATGTAAGCAAGTCTGATGATGACACCAAAATAGGCCTTAAGAGTACATATATTTCTGATGAGGACACTAAGTAATGTATATTAGAGATGATTTCCTCTATTCTGCTTATTACAGTATACAGTACACTACTGTATAAACATTTAGAAATATACTAGAAATGTTATAAATGGTGCAAAAGTGACATTAAAAAAATATCTAAAGATGGTTGACACAAACCCACTTCCAGTATAGTATGCTCCTCGCTTAACAACCAATTTGCTTACTGACCTACTCTTAAGACCAGAAACCCGTCGTTCAATGAGGAGAGCTTGTATATTGTTCATAGGCCTCATTTAGATTATGCTGCACACTTTTGGTCATTGTATTACAGAATGGACATAAATACACTGGCAAACGTACAGAGAAGGATGACAAAGTTGATGCCGGGTTTTTAGTGAGTGCACTGAATCTGCACTCACTAGAAACCCGTAGAATTAAGGAGGATATGATTGAGATGTATAAGTGGAAAACAGGACTCACAGCATTAGGTTCAAGTTGGAAAAATTTAGATTTAGGAAGGATATAAGAAAGCACTGGTTTCGTAATAGAGTTGTAGATGAGTGAACAAACTCATGAGTAGTGTTATTGAAGTGAAAACCTTGTGTAGCTTTAAAAATAGATTAGACAGGTACAAGTGTGGGTGTGAGGTGGATCTGCCTAGCATGAGCCAGTAGGCCTTTTGCAGTGTTCCTTCTTTTGTTTTTATTTGTTATTGAAATGTGAGCAGGGCAACATATATGAAAGGATTCAAGGAAACCAGTCAGCTGGACTGGAGAGTTCTGTAAGTGGGTAGTACAGTGCCTTCACTCTGAGGGAGAGGGTGGGGTGAAGTTGCAGCTTGGATGGTTATTTGAATTAAGAACTTTGTGCACTTTTGGCAAGACAGGTATTTAATTAATGATGGTGTATGTATTTCCTTTGTTTGAGTCACTCTGCCTTGGTGGGAGATGACCAGTGTTAGAAAAAAATTTGTTTCTGCATTTAATATAACATGTAGTATTATTGGGAGTGTTATAGATTAATACCACATTATCTTTATGCAGGAAAGTACCAGCAATGTGATCTTAACATGCCTGAAACACTTCCTCAACGGAAAGGAGCGCCTCGTAGTTTTTATAAAGATGGCCCACTTACAAACATTGGTGTATTTCAAGCAACACTTGTAGGTCAAGCTCTGAAGGCCAATAATACAGAGGTGCACCATGTTTTCTGCTCCCCAGCTTTACGCTGTGTTCAAACTTGTGCCAGTATACTTAAGGGTAAGTTCAATAAATAATTAAATAGCTAGTTAATTTTGACTGACGAAAGTAAACTGAAGATTACTTAAATTATGCACGTTTAGCATGCACAATAATAGATTTTTTTTATTAATATGTAAGTATCTTTACAAGGGGGGGGAGGGTTCCTAGAAGTTGGGGGAAAGGCTTTTTACTCAAGGAATTATAGCCACCCTTCCCCTTCTCAGATCAAACCTGATTACCACTTATACTTCAGTTTCCCCAGACACTGTATTACTCTCATGGATGTTCTCCTGTCCTTGAATATAATGATAAGAAAAATAAATATAGTAAGGAAATTGCATGGAAGATTATTTAATTTTTTTTTTTGACAGGTATGGGTATTGATGAAGTTATGCCAATCAACATTGAACCTGGGCTCTTCGAGTTTCTTCCATGGTACAAAGATGAAATACCTACATGGATGACTCTGGATGAGCTAACCGATGCAGGCTTCAATATTAGTCACAATTATGATCAAATAACCCAAGTAGACGAATTGAACAATACCAATGAGAGTTGCAAGGAGTTTTATTGCAGAAATTTCAATGTTGCAAAGAAGATTATCAAAAGAACACAAGGTATCTGCTTGAAAGTTAGTGTATAATGTTTTTTAACACGCTGACCATCACCCACCAAGGCAGGGTGACCTAAACAGAAGAAACATTTTCACCATTACTCACATTGTCATTGTCTTGACAGAATCGTGAAAGTACTACAGTTCAGAGGCTTCTCCAAACTGCATTTACGGTAGACCATCGTTTAACACGGTTTTGTCTTGCACATTTTAGTTATAGCAGAATTGAAGAATTGCAGCATTTTTGTTTAACACTTCTTAAAATTAGTTTAACATGGTTGCAGGAGGGGAAAAAATTTTGAGTGCATGGTCGCCCGCTGGGCAGGATGGTCTGTGGGTTACACCAGTGAGTCAATGATGATACTCGGGAAGCTCACTGTGTTTATTTATATTTTATTTTATTATTTTCACTGGCCGATTCCCACCAAGGCAGGGTTGCCTGAAAAAGAAAAACTTTCACCATCATTCACTCCATCACTGTCTTGCCAGAAGGGTGCTTTACACTACAGTTTTTAAACTGCAACATTAACACCCCTCCTTCAGAGTGCAGGCACTGTACTTCCCATCTCCAGGACTCAAGTCCGGCCTGCCGGTTTCCCTGAACCCCTTCATAAATGTTACTTTGCTCATACTCCAACAGCACGTCAAGTATTAAAAACCATTTGTCTCCATTCACTCCTATCAAACACGCTCACGCATGCCTGCTGGCAGTCCAAGCCCCTCGAACACAAAACCTCCTTTACCCCCTCCCTCCAACCTTTCCTAGGCCGACACCTACCCCACCTTCCTTCCACTACAGACTGATACACTCTTGAAGTCACTCTGTTTCGCTCCATTCTCTCTACATGTCCGAACCACCTCAACAACATTTCCTCAGCCCTCTGGACAACAGTTGTGGTAATCCCGCACCTCCTCCTAACTTTCAAACTACGAATTCTTTGCATTATATTCACACCACACATTGCCCTCAGACATGACATCTCCACTGCCTCCAGCCTTCTCCTCGCTGCAACATTCATCACCCATGCTTCACACCCATATAAGAGCGTTGGTAAAACTATACTCTCATACATTCCCCTCTTTGCCTCCAAGGACAAAGTTCTTTGTCTCCACAGACTCCTAAGTGCACTGCTCACCCTTTTCCCCTCATCAATTCTATGATTCACCTCATCTTTCATAGACCCATCCGCTGACACGTCCACTCCCAAATATCTGAATACATTCACCTCCTCCATACTCTCTCCCTCCAATCTGATATCCAATCTTTCATCACCTAATCTTTTTGTTATCCTCATAACCTTACTCTTTCCTGTATTCACTTTTAATTTTCTTCTTTTGCACACCCTACCAAATTCATCCACCATTCTCTGCAACTTCTCTTCAGAATCTCCCAAGAGCACAGTGTCATCAGCAAAGAGCAACTGTGACAACTCCCACTTTATGTGTGATTCTTTATCTTTTAACTCCACGCCTCTTGCCAAGACCCTCGCATTTACTTCTCTTACAACCCCATCTATAAATATATTAAACAACCACGGTGACATCACACATCCTTGTCTAAGGCCTACTTTTACTGGGAAATAATTTCCCTCTTTCCTACATACTCTAACTTGAGCCTCACTATCCTCATAAAAACTCTTCACTGCTTTCAGTAACCTACCTCCTACACTATACACCTGCAACATCTGCCACATTGCCCCCCTATCCACCCTGTCATACACCTTTTCCAAATCCATAAATGCCACAAAGACCTCTTTAGCCTTATCTAAATACTGTTCACTTATATGTTTCACTGTAAACACCTGGTCCACACACCCCCTACCTTTCCTAAAGCCTCCTTGTTCATCTGCTATCCTATTCTCCATCTTACTCTTAATTCTTTCAATAATAACTCTACCATACACTTTACCAGGTATGCTCAACAGACTTATCCCTCTATAATTTTTGCACTCTCTTTTGTCCCCTTTGCCTTTATATAAAGGAACTATGCATGCTCTCTGCCAATCCCTAGGTACCTTACCCTCTTCCATACATTTATTAAATAATTGCACCAACCACTCCAAAACTATATCCCCACCTGCTTTTAACATTTCTATCTTTATCCCATCAATCACGGCTGCCTTACCCCCTTTCATTTTACCTACTGCCTCACGAACTTCCCTCACACTCACAACTGGCTCTTCCTCACTCCTACAAGATGTTATTCCTCCTTTCCCTATACACGAAATCACAGCTTCCCTATCTTCATCAACATTTAACAATTCCTCAAAATATTCCCTCCATCTTCCCAATACCTCTAACTCTCCATTTAATAACTCTCCTCTCCTATTTTTAACTGACATATCCATTTGTTCTCTAGGCTTCCTTTACTTGTTAATCTCACTCCAAAACTTTTTCTTATTTTCAACAAAATTTGTTGATAACATCTCACCCACTCTCTCATTTGCTCTCTTTTTACATTGCTTCACCACTCTCTTGACCTCTCTCTTTTTCTCCATATACTCTTCCCTCCTTGCATCACTTCTACTTTGTAAAAACTTCTCATATGCTAACTTTTTCTCCCTTACTACTCTCTTTACATCATCATTCCACCAATCGCTCCTCTTCCCTCCCGCACCCACTTTCATGTAACCACAAATTTCTGCTGAACACACTAACACTACATTTTTAAACCTACCCCATACCTCTTCGACCCCATTGCCTATGCTCTCATTAGCCCATCTATCCTCCAATAGCTGTTTATATCTTACCCTAACTGCCTCCTCTTTTAGTTTATAAACCTTCACCTCTCTCTTCTCTGATGCTTCTATTCTCCTTGTATCCCATCTACCTTTTACACTCAGTGTAGCTACAACTAGAAAGTGATCTGATATATCTGTGGCCCTTCTTTAAACATGTACATCCTGAAGTCTACTCAACAGTCTTTTATCTACCAATACATAATCCAACAAACTACTGTCATTTCGCCCTACATCATATCTTGTATACTTATTTATCCTCTTTTTCTTAAAGTATGTATTACCTATAACTAAACCCCTTCCTATACAAAGTTCAATCAAAGGTCTCCCATTATCATTTACACCTGGCACCCCAAACTTACCTACCACACCCTCTCTAAAAGTTTCTCCTACTTTAGCATACAGGTCCCCTACCACAATTACTCTGTCACTTGGTTCAAAGGCTCCTATACATTCACTTAACATCTCCCAAAATCTCTCTCTCTCCTCTGCATTCCTCTCTTCTCCAGGTGCATACACGCTTATTATGACCCACTTTTCGCATCCAACCTTTACTTTAATCAACATAATTCTTGAATTTACACATTCATATTCTCTTTTCTCCTTCCATAACTGATCCTTCAACATTACTGCTACCCCTTCCTTTGCTCTAACTCTCTCAGATACTCCAGATTTAATTCCATTTATTTCCCCCCACTGAAACTCTCCTACCCCCTTCAGCTTTGTTTCGCTTAGGGCCAGGACATCCAACTTCTTTTCATTCATAACATCAGCAATCATCTGTTTCTTGTCATCCGCACTACATCCACGCACATTTAAGCATCCCAGTCTTATAAAGTTTTTCTTCTTCTCTTTTTTAGTAAATGTCTACAGGAGAAGGGGTTACTAGCCTATTGCTCCCGGCATTTTAGTCGCCTCATACGACACACATGGCTTACAGAGAAAAGATTCTTTTCCACTTCCCCATATACTGTACATATTTTCTTATTTTCATTGCCATTTCTTAAATCTGCCAAGCAATCGTGGCACCCAGTAAGCATACAAGTGTTCCCACAAGTGACTAAAAAAGGTTTAAGCATTCAAGTCTAGGAATTACGAAGAAAATCGAGATGTTAGATAAGCTTAAGAGTGGCTCACGTGTGGTGGATATAGGGAGGGCCTATGGCCTTAACCCTTTCTGGGTCGAGAGACCCTCTCCTAAACTTGTTCTCAGGGTTGAAAATTTTTCGGAAAAAATTTTTTTTTTCTTATGAAAAAATAGAGAATCTTTTCCCGATCATAATGACACCAAAAGTATGAAATTTGATGGAAAACTTATGGAATTATGCTCTTGCGAAGTTAGCGGTCTCGACGATGTTTACACATTGGCGATTTTACTCACTTTGAGCCCTATTTTCAGTCAATTCCATTGTACTAGTCGACAAAAATCATAACTATTTCGCTAGAACTTCATTTTTTTCTATCGAATGAGTACAAGAAACCACCCATTTACCAATTTCAACTATCTAATAAAGTGGTCAGAAATTAGCAATTTTGCCAATTTCACACAAATTTCAAAAGGTGCCAATTTCCAAATAGGGTCCAGAATAAACAAGACAGACATTCCTGGCACTAAAATACAATTTCCTCTGTTCATTAGCCACGTCCCCAAGCCCCTCTTACATTTCTTTTGCTTTCCACTTTGAATTTTTATTCTCACAAAAAATAGAAGATTTACTGGTATGCAGACTACAGCATTAGACTAGAAATGGTATAAATAATATCAGCGCACCTGTGAAAGAATATTAGACTCACCAGTTGACGTGTATTGGATGCATGGCATGATTTGTTTACTTTTGAACTTTGGCAAAAATTGAACTTTTCTGCTACTTTGAGTTCAATTTCAAGGTACTTTTTTTTGTGAAACTAATTAAAATCATCTCAATTTCTGTAATATGTCTTCCATTCTATAAAACAAGACCAGGAAAACTAGAATACAACCATAAATACTATACAAAAATACAGTGCAAAGTCGCTGTTTTAAACCAAAAACACGGTCAAAGTTTTTTTTTCTCATTACGCACTGTGTGGTGCAGGATTTTTTTATACTGTGCACACTGACCACACAGACCCATTCTTTCATATGTAGGCCTACCACCTTTCTCTTGCTAGATTTGAAGGCGCTAGAATTTAGGCGTACTAGTACATCAATAACCCTGGTGTGTAAGCCGTTCTAGTACGTTGGAAACCCTGAAAGGGTTAATGAAGCGTCAGTTCATACAGTTAA